CCAAGCCCTGGGGATGGGGGACGCTCAGACCCCATAACGCTGGGCACCGCTTGCTCTGCCCACACCGGGAGCGCTCCGGGGCAGGGCAGCCACTGCCCGTCGGCAGCTGTACGAAGCTGCATTGCACGGTAGGACAAGTTTCAGTAGCCTGTAGTCATTTTTTCCATTCACACACTTGGAGAAGGCACTTGGGTTGCACCTCCAGCTTAATTGAAAAGGGAGAGAAAGTGTCGAGGGAGGTGTCTGAAAGCCACTTGCTGCTCGGGAAGATGATGAGCAGAGAAAAGCCACCCCACGAATCAATAAGCATTTTGAGCAGTATATATCCAAGTGGGTTTTTTTTTTTCCCCCCTTGGAGTTTAATAATCTGAATTCTTTCCTCCCAGATTTTCCACTATCTGGGTTGCAGCAACAGCCCTCTTCTGCAAGTGGTCTGTCTCCTTCCCCAAAAGGTTAGAAAAAGGGAAATAGTCACAACTAAAAATATACCTACAGAATATTATAGATAAGTTTGTGTATACACATACACCCAAATATGCCTGTACACACACACACATACACATATAAATTTTTATATATATATAAAACTGCTTCAACCCCCTTGCAAAGCCATCCACGCAAGCCAAAAGCAGCATTAAAAGACTCAGACTGAAGGATAGGTGCCAAAGTCCTCAGATTCCACATTTGGTATTTGGCAGACAGGCCTCTGCACGTTGCGAGGGCCATCGCTCCTACCCGAACCACGCTTCGGAGATAACCATTTCGTTTCGCTGAGCTCTTCTGCATTGCAGCCGAGCTCCCCTGGGATGGTATTGAAGGATGCTCATCTGGCTTCTGCCTTCACCAGCAGCCGGGGTTTTTTGTCTTAGCATCTCCATTCCCTTTGCCTCCCGCCAGCTCCTGGGGTTGGCCGAGGCTCAGCACAATTATTACCCTGATCTCTTCGTACGTCCTGGGTTTATACTATAGATGTTTTGTTTGTTCAGTCATTTATCCCTTAACCAGAGTGAGTCATGGTGGCTTCATTTTTCAACTGTGTACACATACTTAATAGACATTTTTTACTACATAATTGCATATTCAAATAGACGCTGTCCTTATGTACATACATACGCTCATTCTGTGTGGAGAACATCCTTTTTTTTTTTTTTTCATGCAGAGGAACTGACAGGAGAGGAAACTCCAGCCGTGTCCTGCCTGATGTTGGCAGAATTGATGTGAGAAGGGCCAAGATGAGCCGGAGCTGGTCTTTGCTCCAGTGTCCTGCTGGGAAAGGAGGCAAAATCCTCCCTTCGCTGGTCCCCAGGGAAGCCAGCCCTTGGCCACCCCATCAGTGATGGTGGCAGCTCGAAGGCATGAGAAAAAAAGCCTAAAAGCCCCCAAACAGCTTGGGAGTTGCAGACCCTCTGCCAGGGTGCAGCAAGGATCATGCCTAAAACAGCATCTATATCTACAACTGGGCTGAAAATTAAAAAAAAAAAAAAAAAAAAAAGGGGGGTTTTCCACCCATCCCCACAGGGC